GCCCCTAACCTAATCAGTATAATAATTTATCTATCACAGACTGCTGTTGTTATTTAACGAATAAATTTATAGTACTTCGATACAACTGTTGTTACATTTAACGTTTATATTATTAACTCGTAGATGGAGGTACGAGGCAAAGTTTTGATATTACTAAAACCAATTAAACACCCGACCAAGTGTACTTCGTCATGAGTCACGCCCACAAAATATCAACAACAAAAATTGCCTTGAAATTTTCAGACGCTAAAGTAATATTTATATAGTACAAATAAAAAGAGGGGGACGGAATTACAAACACGTTTTTGTAGGATTTGTGGTTCTGAAGACAGCGAGTAGAAAGATGGCTGTCTTCTGGGTTACATGCGTTGCATCTAGCAGAAGTCTTCCGACGTTTCAGAGGTACCTGCTGCCTACATTATAAAACAGCCCTGATGACGGGATCAAGTACCTCTGAAACGTCGGTAAACTTCTACCAGACTGCAAGAAACTACAACCAAGACATCCATTAGGAGCCGTTACCAACCTGCGTGCTTCAAGGCTACAGAAGACTGTACACCCCCGTTTTCCGCGTGGTTTTACGTCAACAGTACGTCATTGCTAGCTTTACTACGCTGCGAGTCCTAAGCAGTCTTCAGTCACCTAGTCTACGATGTTCGTGACGAAAATTAGTAAATGTTTGTGATGACCTTGAAGTATACAATTTCGCGACGGCTAATATAGTTATACTTAATTATGGGTAATATAATACGTACGTAATAAACAAGCAATAATGCTTCTATTGTGATTTCTGAACTTGATCATCAGTGCCAGGATATTTTATTTATTTAGTGTTCTGTCTGACGACAGGTCCATATGAACAGGATCCTTCCATCCTTTTCTCGGACTGGGACCTGTTCATATACGTTCTTGGCAGATGATCCAGAAGGGGTTTGCCATTGCCTTCTTCTGTGTGAATGGAGTAATTGTTGGGATGCAACGGAGGAAAACTCCGTGTTGCCTAAACCACGGCCTTGCCCAACACAAGTTAAAAATTCGGGCACCGCCGGGAATCGAACCCGAGACCCCAGGATTACAAGGACAAAGGATAAATTATCTTAAAGTGAAAGTAATTCTGTCTGTATGTGCGTGTGATATGAATCAGGGATAAATAACAGGTTTCGTGGGGTGAATGCGTGGTGTGCTTTTGTTTAGGACTGGACGGTAGCAAGTCTGTGGGGGTGTTATGAAGGGGGGGTGTGTGCATGAATAGATTGCAATGAAATCGCGGTTTGCGTCAGGTGCTCCCTGGGTGAAAAATGAGCTAGTGTCGAGCAGAATAAGAAGTGGAAAGAGGCAAGGGCAACATTGTCTTCTTCGTAACCATCATAAATTCTGTTGCCTTCAGTAATTCATTAATTATGTATGAATCTTCAAATAATATTCAATGACAAAAATGCTAAAAAGGATAGCTTATTTGTGCTCGTGGAATTAATTAATTTTTATGGATGAAATAAAAATTTATGATATTTCAAGGTAAAACGCATACATACGTCGTTGGAAGAAATAAAATAAACATGACTTGAGACTACTGTAAGGCAAGATTTGTGTCCATATTTAAACTTCGGTTTTTTTTTTACATTCAGACGCTCCATCGAAGCCAGAATTATCAGTGTCGCTCCTTCCACGAACTTATCTACTTCAAATAAGTTTCGGTTCAGTGTTCCAACACACCCTTCACCACACAATATATTCTCTTTATAACTTCCCGGATGGAATGATCCTTACAACACACAAGAGCAAATATTCCCTATCTCATTTTGGATTCGTTCTTTCGTAGTTTACGTGTCTCTATAACACACCTGCTTTAACAATAAATAAATTCAATTTGTATTTATGTTCATCTTTGTAACGGTGAAGTGCTGTTCTCTTTTAGGTACGGTCTAAATTCTTAAATATTATTTAAATGTTCTTCAGCTTCAAAAGTTCTAAGCAAATGAAAAATTTACAGCTGTCAATTGCTTAGATCAGCGTTTCTCAATATATGGTGCGCGTAACACTGGTGGTACGCGAACTATAAGTAATAAAATCAAAAGATAATATTAATACAAATAAGTTTTCCCAGAAACCACTTGGTTAGTGGTACCCCATCAAATAAAGGATGAGGACCCCTGTTTTAGATAATACACCATCGAATCGTCAGTTAATAATGAACTTAAAAGTATCTGAAAGTAAGCTGACAATAACCTAATTTTATGTTATGTCGTAAGGTTTAAATTACTATATATTCCAATAATTTTTCTGGAAGAATTTATTATACAAAATATAGGGCACAGGTCCTGATGAAACACATTTTTCCTTTCGAAACAAAGAATTACCTTTTAAACGTTAGTGTAAACCAAATATTATACGTTTCTAATCTCGTTTTAAAGAAAACCTAATAGCAGGTGATACATATGATAATCATTACGCTTTAAAGGGCCCTAAAAAAGTTAAACGAAAGAACTGTTTGACTCTTCTGACAAACAAATTATATTCTTCAATCGATTGGCTTCTAGCGTGGTACCTATCATGGGAACAAACAACAAAGACTTTTACCCACATTCCAGTCTGAATGACCTTCCAATTACATAAAGACAAAGCAAAGAACTTTCAGTGTTACTGCCACGGAATTAAACAAATGCTTACATTTCTTATCAATCTTTACTGCCCGAAAGCCAATTTTTTCGATACGTATTATTGAATACGATAAAAAAAATATTATCCCTAAACCCTACATCTATACCGAGATTCAAACCCAGGGAAATTTTCGGGTTCTGGCCTTTATTCCTGCAATATCCTCTTCGAAACAAAAAAAAAAGTCTTTGAAAATTCCTTCTACTCACCGGCATTCGAACTCAGGACAATTTATCGGAGTTTTTTTTTTCTAAAATCTGTTTCTTTTCTCAACAAATAAGCATGCCAAGTTAGGTGCAAATCAGTATATCCGTTCTCGATCTACAAGCTAAGAAACACGTCTTTTCAGAATTTTTAGCGAAAAACGATCTGTCAGACCTTATTTTCATTTTACGAACTTCTAAATTCGTTATAACTACGCTCCTAAGAGAAATCTAATCTTTCTGAGACTCTACTCTTAAAAAAACCACATATATAATTACTCTACTGCACACAAATTTGCATAAATAATTCATTTATCGTTATAAGACTCCTTCACTGTGTACTAGACGAACAAGGCTAACCTCAACTACAATTTAATAAAAAAATGTTTCGTCTTCTTAATTTTTAAAACATGGAGAAATGTCAGTGGAATTTGAGGATGATTTTTCTGGGATGTTGCGTCGTGTTGTTTTATATAAATTGTCGACTTTTAGAGATATTTACCGCCTTCAACATCCAACGCCTTGATGACAGAAAACAGTCTCTTCGTTGAGTTATGCCCATTTTACACAAAACCCTTCAATTATATACAGTGATTATAAAAAGCGGTATTGCAACTTATGTTATGACGCAATCCGTTTCAGAGAACGCATTACAGATAATTATAGAAGTATAATTATCATCAATGCTTATTTCGAAACAACACTGCCACCGTCATGATATTGAGGTACAGAATACGTGGAGCTTTACCTCCGATATGCTTATAATTTACCATGACTTCACCGTCGCTCTTAACAAATAAGTTCGAATTACCGCCATGATAATATTAAAAATGGCAGAATAATATAAATCACAAAGTTGAATAAACTATTGTTATTATGTTAATGCCAAATTTCATGAAAATCCGTCATTGTGTTCAATGGTTTTTAAGGGGGAAACAAATGGACTTGTCAATCCCATAAACAACTTTTTTCTTTTTAAATAAATAAAGTTTAAATCAATAATAAATCATCCGAAATGTACATATGAAGACGAGGTAGTTGATGAAATACATAAATTCCACTGAAGTAGAGATGGCTGTCTTCTAAAACAGGGGTACCACTAATTCTAATTTAACACATTAAATGTACCAATCGCCAAATGAGTTCAGGGAAAACTTATTTATGTTAATACGCTGTTCTAGAATGTTACGCCGAGTAGCCTGGTAGATACCAGCAGACATATAAATCGCCCTGATTGGAGACAGTAAAAAGCTTTGAAACTTCGATCAATATCGACTAGACTACACAGCGCAACATCCCATAAGACTCCTCGCTGTTAGAACATGAAATTCGCCAAGGATAAAATGGCTGGAGAAAGGATTCGATAGTAAGAACCTTGTATTTACGACGACAAACTTCCATTTTACGTTACAAACTATTTAATAACTGCTCGGAGGTGATACGTTATGCGGTATGAGGCACTTTGCTTTTGTATCGGTTATATGTCGTTATTATCCTGAGCTACGCGGGTCTATAAAACAGTGGAATAAACGCTCATAAACCTGGCCGTGAACCGAACACAACACGACGTATTTTAATCACGGCAGCACATACGTAAAACGTAACTCGAAACAACTGACATCAAACATAACCTTGAAACAGCATTTCCCATACAACCTTGTAATTCTAATAGCTAATTTAATGTTACATTCTGAGCAAAAGATTACGTCCAGCTGTTAAAAATTGAATTCCAATTACGAAACAATGAAGAAATAATACT